AATACTTCATATCACAAATGCTGTAGTCATTCATATGTCAACCAGCGATTGATTGGCTGGTGACTCAGCTTTCAAGAAAATGACTTGTCTACCTTTGGGAAATCTTACCTTAGCTAAATGAGTTTTAAACCAATGTTAGGTTTGGATGAATAATATTGAACGATAATATAAAGGGTTTTCATAGCAGAGATAAACAAACAATAATATATATATACCCACGATAAGCCAATCAATGCACTTTGATCTACACAGCATATCTAGCACAATCAACGGTAACAACAATTTAACAAGTGTTTTCTCATGTTTTCGAAATATTTGACAATTATTCGCCAAAGGCAAATTGAATATCGGGGAGTAATAACCAAAACAAAGTTGAGGTTATTATTTCTGATATTCACTGAGCCTGAGGTGAATAATTGTCTTAGTATAAATACACAGGTGATTCTTTCAGAAAAAGAAAAAAAGAAGATAAGACACATTTTAACAACAACAAAGTAGCTGGCCTCCATTTTGGATTATCGCTGGAGGTGATTATCGTGTGATAATCTGAGTTACTCAACCAATCAGCACACAAAGTTTTCAAAAGTCACCTGTGTATTTACCGTAAATTCTCTATTTAACCCCCTGGGAGGCTTATTTATTTCAGGCACGTTTGAGGGGGGCTTATTGGAGAGAGGGGGCTTAATTGAGAGGGGGGGCTTATTTATTTAGTCGAAACGCAGTAAGTTGTACGCTGTCAGGATGTAATGTGATTGTAACTCAGGATTAAACAGAAGCATTACTATTGACCATCTCGCATAATCTGTAGTGATGTATATGGCATTTTCATTATTTGATTCACCTGTGTTAGTCTCTCAAGTATAATTTACGAATAACAAATAATTTACAAATAGCAAAACCAAAACAGGTTAACATTAACGAAGCAAGCTAAAAAGAAATGTTCTGAACAATCAAGACTTTAATAAGTTACCTTTAATCAGTACATGTGATTCTTTAGTTGTGATGGGGGAGGGGAGGGGGGCTAAAAAGAGGTGGGGTCTTAACAAATTTCTTCCTTTAAAAAGGGGGGGGGGGCTTATTAGGGAAGGGGGCTTATTTGGGAGAGGGGGCTAAATAGAGGATTTACGGTATACTAAAGTCAATTATATATTAGCATAAACCTACTAGCATACTATCATGAATCCTGCAATCTGATTGGCTAACRTACTCACTATCTATCCTGTGATAGATAGTGAGTAGCAAAAAATAAACAAATGCATGCTCAAGTTTCGTTGAAATCTCTGCTTGTTCTCTAAAAATCTGACAAGACTGTACCAAAGAAAGGAATGGAGGTTTTGCACAGTACAGATGAATTAAAAACTGAAGAATTATGGCAATTTGGACACGAAAAAGCGGCCGCCAGATTTCACTGAGATTTTCATGAGGCAAACTTATGACGGACAAACAATAAAGAAAGTGCAAGTTAACTGACACTGAGAATCTTATATTAAGCGAATTGTAAACATGGCACGACTTTGAATGATCTGACAACAAAATAATYATTTGAATATTTCTATTTTTTATTTTTTAAATATTTTGTTTAATTTAATGCGCGCGCACATATGCCATGGTTTGATYGCGTTTTTCTTTGTCAATTGTCAATAACGTTTTTCATTTCCCTGAGGATGGCCGAGTAGGCCAAAAGTTCGAATAATAGTTATTAAATCTATGGTTGATAAAACAAATTATTATGAATGTAACAACAACTAACAAGGAACTATTTGAACAAAATATTTGTCAACAGATCCGTTAAGTAACAGATCCGTTAAATACTATCATAAGTGGCACAAAGTTTTCGGGGTCCAACTAAAACACCAGTTCTCCAAGTAATCCACTGCTAGCTTTCTTCCAGCTTCGAAGATCAAGATATTTTTCAGTCTCTCGGCTCGTTGTGCATTCAAAGTGTTCATATTGAGGTGGTTTTCTTGAGTGTTTGTACAGGCTAAATGTCCAGTTAACGATCTGAACTTTGAAAACTTTGAAAATTTCAAAATCTTCACTATTTGAATTTTCATTTCTTCTAGCAGTTAAATGCTTGTTTTCTTTGGCTTTTTTGCTAAAATTTACAAGCAATTTTCCTTTCTTGTTGAACAAATGCGATAAACCAGTTCTATGCCAGGTTGTACAGAGCTGTCATTACCTGTCAAAACTGGACCAATCAGATAGCCCTATGTCGCGTTTTAAGCCAATCATCGCATAGATCAAATTTGTTTACGTGAGTTTGACGACAAACGTGCGCTCTTTATGTAAACAAATCGTTTTTCTTATTGAAATKTTACGCTATTTTTCTCGTAAAAATCTATTATATAAATCGAATAGGTGTTCTGTTCTCTGATAAAACATGACTGAAGCTGTAGGAAACGACTAAAGTTATAGAAATCATGAGCCGTAATCAAAACATTCCAGAGTTCGCACAAGTTATCACTAAATTAGCAAAGAAAGTTTGCTCAGACTACCCTTATTACTCCATGCAAATATCTCTGACTAACTCCTCGGCGATAAAGAGATCGAGCTCTTCATTCAAATGCAGTTTTCCAAGTTTCACGAATTCAAACGTCAAACAAAACTGCTTGAAAAACCCGATCTCTTGATGTTCTATTCCTTCTCGCGGCAAAACATTACTACTCAAGTTTCATACATACCTGCAGATTACAGCCATAAGTTAAGTTTGACAATAAACAAATGAAAATATCCATTTTTACTCCGACTTCGTATAACGAAAACACAGCGGCCACTTTTAACTATTGATCTACCGCTGATCAAAGGTCACTAAAGGCTCGAAGACACAGGTAGCCCAAAGGAAGAACTTGTCTTGGATTAAACGTGGTTACATCAAATATATTCTTTTTTATATTATAATTTGTTATAATAGTAATATTCAGTCTGTTCTGGTCAAAGTTAAAGGAAAGTATTTGGCAGGT